CTGTGGCATCACAGCTCACAGCAACCTCCAACTCTTGGGCTTACATGATTCTCTTGCCTCAGCCTCCTGAATAGTGGAGACCACAGGCACCTGCCACAATGCCTGGCTATTTTTTGTTGCAGTTTGGCCGGGGCCAGGTTCGAACCCTCCACCCTTGGTATATGGGGCCGGTGTCCTACTCACTGAGCCACAGGCACCGCCCCCACTCTTTCATTTACTCTCCTGCCCTCTGACCCTTGCCTCAGGATGACACTGCCCTTTCTAGATGTGGACACTTTAACCTTGAACTTCCCAGCTTCCCAAACTGTGAGAAGCAAACCTCTGTTCTTTATAAATAACACTGTCTCAGCTATTCTGTTACAACAGCCGAGGAAAAGATTAAGCGAGGGAGTTGTAAGGCAATAGCTAAAAGCCAACTAACTTTAAGTATTTCTCTCTTCTTCCTTCAATTTAAATCATGTCAGCTCTCACTTGTGGTTATGAAGGGACCATTTTTAGTAGCTTTTATTTTTTTGACAGGTACTATAATCTTTTCATTGGTAATGAGCTACAGTTTCTGTTTCAAACAAAGCTTTCTTTGTTATTCTTTGTCTCTGGTTATGTAAAAACGAGAGTCAGGACGGTTACCTGTTATTAGTTAAATAATCTTATGCTCAAATTAACTTGTTTAGAAGTCGCTGGACTAGAGTCAAAATTGATTTTAAAACAGAGGGTCTATTTGCCAATTGTGTTTTTCTCTTATTCAGAATTCTATAGGTACTAAAGAAGGCTTTCTAAAGGAAGGCTCCTTTCTTCAGTTAGATATTTTAATTAGCAGGTAACGCTAGGAGGACGGAGGATTTGTTCAGCAGTCATTGTCACTGTGATAAAATACATATTCACACATGTGGTTGGAAGTTTCTCCAGCCTCTCACCTCAACCGAACAAATGATCGTGAGGGGCAGTGGGTCCAATACCGAAATTTCACTCTTCAGTAGGTCCTTGGTCTCGGGGATTCCAAGAATGAACCCACAGACCACAGATCAGTGGTAAAATAGGACTTTTCTTAGAAGTTAGAAAGGAAAGTAAAAAGCACCAGAGCTTCTGGAAGGGAGAGAAGAACTGAAGACCTCCCTCGGGAGTCTCCACGTGGATTCTTTTATTTAGGGGTCTTAAGTCTAGAGGATTACAGGTGGCTGGCAGTTGGTAGCAAATGAATGAATGAAGTTCCTCCTCCACTAGGGCGAGGTTATCAGGTCTTTTACAGTCTCTGTCCATGAGAAGGGATTAGAGTGTGTGCTCCTACCCACGTGGAACCACCCAAAAAACCATCCCAGGCTGCTTTGTTCATGATCTTATCAGAGCCCAGAGGTGTGTCCTGAAGAAGACCCCCCTTAAATCGGGGTCTGACCTCTGAGCTCACCCGGGCCTAGAGAATGGAGAGTTCCCTGTCTAGCCCTGAGTGGTGGAATCCTGTATCAGGACCCTGCCCCACAAATTTTTGCTTGCTGTGCGTCCAAACTTACAATTTCAAACAGTTTGGAATTTGGCATAGATTTGCTCCATGCATAGCTGTGCTTTATGCGAATAATCCAGATTTCAATTTTCAAAGACAAATTAGAGTTCCCTGAATCTCAACCAACAGTAAACACGGGCTGAGCCCACGTGGCTGCACTGGGGTTTCGATGCACGCGTCAGTATTTCTCTCTCGAAGCCTCCATGGGGCCTGTATTTCCCTAGTTTGACGTCATCGTCATGTAGTTACTGAAGTGACCCTTTAGGATTCATAGGGACGCACATTTCATTACTAATTTGTGGATTGTAATTTACCTAGAAAGACAAAAGGATGCCTGAATATTATGTAGAAGTGTTGTGCCTGATTTAGTGAAGAATCAGCATGAAGCTAATATCAATTCAACAAAATTAAAATTTATCCTCTGTAGTTAGAAATGAAAGACTCGAAGTGAAGTAAAGATGAGCCCGTAGGGCAGTGCCTGTGGCTCAAAGGAGTACGGCGCTGGCCCCATATGCCGGAGGTGGAGGGTTCAAACCCGGCCCCGGCCAAAAACTACAAAAAAAAAAAATTAAGATAGAGTTATTAGATGTTGGCTGGCACCGTGGCTCAGCCTGTAATCCTGGTATACGGGACTGTCAGCTTGATGACAGCCCTTACTCTGTCCTCACCAGTTACAGGCTCAGCTATGGACTCCCACTATCCATGTATTGAATCTGAACCTAAATACCTCAGGATGTGACCCTCTTGGAGACTGGGCCTTTAGAAAGGAAGTAAGGTAAACCACGGAGGTGATTCCCAATCTCATATAATTGTTGCCCTTTTCAGAAGAGGAGATTAGGACACAGACAGCTCAGTCTGATGATGACCAGGTAAGGACCAATGAGAAGGTGGTCCCTGCAAACCCAGGGGAGTGGCCTGGAGAGGCCTCAGAAGAAACCAAACCTTCTACAGCTTACGCTTGGACTCTCAGCTTCTGGACCCGTGAGAAAGTAAGTATCCGGAATTTTGTTACGGCAGCCTTACACTCTAATACATCATCATTTTTAAAAACCTACA